AATGCAAAAATTACTTTTTTAATTATTTTTAATGTTTTCATGTTACTATTATTATTTCTATTATACTAAAATGTTACAAAATTTTACAAAAAAACAAGATGTTTGAACATATTTCATACATAATTATACATATTATGAATATTATTTATGCGTGTTTATACATATTTATACATATTCATGCATGAAATATTTTTTCCGGGTTTTTTATTGAAGAGTAAGAATTCTTTTTCAAAATGTGTACATTTTAATAATATAAGAAACATGCAAATATATTTTTATGTTGTATTTTACATGAAATCTTTGCAGCTTTGGAGATTATTCTACAACTTAATTAACTATGCCTATAATTAAATACATAAGTAATTTTGTTCAATCAATAAATTCCAACACGATCGCAGCGATTTAACATTAATTAAGAGGTGATTACGTTAAAGAATTATTACATTCGTTTTATCATTACGATATAATTTTTATAATTTTAATTATTTTAATACAACGATAGTTAATCATGTCTATAAAATTGAGAATATATAGACAATTTAATTTGTTCAACAATTTTCAATACAACACGGTAATGCAACATTAAAAGATGATTATGCTGAAGAGTTATCGCACGTTTCGTCGTTATGATATAATCTTTACAATTTCGGTTATTTTAACACAACGATTTAATTAATGTTTATAAATACACCGTAATTTTTTGCTCTATCAATAATTTTAAACGACATAAATCGACGTAAAAAAAAATAAATATTAATTAACAAGTTACGTTAAAAATACAATTACATCACACATGTCGTTTTGTATAATCTAGGAATCCTTACGATTTCTTTTGGTTGTCTCCCTCTTGTTAACCTTGATCTGTTATGTGGAATTAATAGATAGAATGTTATAAATAAATCCAGAACATATTGATTATAAATAATTCGCAATAATTCGCTTAAATAATTCAAAATACCAATCTTAAATTTCTTCCTCATGAAAAAAGTATTTTTTAAAAATTTATGTTACTCCTAGCAAACAGTTATAGAGATCTTATTTTCTTAGAAAAAAATAAAGAAATATAAACTCGAAAATTTTAGGACTTTTTTCCTAAATATTTTCAAATCAGTTTGTGATTGTCAGAAGTAACGCGCACTTGCGCATTAATTTCTGAAATGTTTTTGCACAGTATAACTCTTAAATAAAACACAAGTCATCATAATATCAAAACATCATAATATCAAACATCATAATATCAAATATCAAAACAGATTTTGCAAATCTGATTATTAAAAGTTATATATTAAAAGTTACGTTTCAATCTACTCATTTTGACATCATTGCAATTTTGTTATTCTGTTTGGCTAATATTGTCTTTATACAAAACTAAATTTGTCAGTAGGTATCGTAAGAATTCGCTCATTATTATATCAGACATTAGAATGCTAATTAGAAAAAAAAATTTTGTAATATTATTAAAATGAAATTAATTAACAGAATTGCCAAACTCAAAGCCAAATTCAAAGTAAACGTGTGTAATTAAATTTTACTAATGTAAAACAACAATTATAGATTTTGATTCGACGTTTGAAATCCTTTTAAATATTAAAATAATAATAAAAAATTAAAATATACAAAAATCTAATAATAAAAAAATTAATATATACAAAATAGAGTTCAGTATAATCGTCAAATAAAATGCAATAAATATTAAATATTAAAAGGAGCAATACGCTCAGACATAACACATCGAATCACGAAATTATTTTACATTATACTAGATTTTATCGCGTTGTTTTTTTTAATATGCGTCTTATATAATGACTACTCTATATTGATCTCTATTTTTAGATTCTAAATAATTTTATAAATAATTTTTCATATACAAATATATGCATATACAAATATATATCAACATACATTATGAGATATGGCCTTCTTCCATTTGTAAAATTACTTTTTAGTAAAAATTATACATAGTACGGATGAGCGAATTTTTTTGCATTTTTTTAAATTTGATTTTTTTCTATAAAATCTACTAGTAGTCATCCTATGACATACATTTATTGTAACTGGATAGTTACTAGTAGATTTTATTTACGTTTGCTCATAATATGATTCACATGTATAGCTTTTCAACGAATGCAATGACCGATTAGTCGTATATACATACCTAAGTAAGGTATGCCACCACTCGGTTGCAGTTACGCGTCCTTAATTCTTTTAACTTTATCCGAAGTTAAAATCAACCATGTCTTAAAATCATCATCCATCCAATGGAATCATATTCCATTGTGTAATGTCATTATGTAATGTAACAATGTCTGATTTCGATCAATTGTACAGAAATACAGTTTTAGTTCCAATATGTATGAAATATCGAGGAACTGAATTTCCTGTCTTTTGAATGAGAAATGTTCGATGTTTAATACTTCAGTATATCTTTAAGCGTACGTATGTGAAGCGTTGAATCGTGTAATTATTCTAACCATTGAATTTTAACCATTGTATTTACCACTTATCACAATACAAATTTATAATTATGTCGCACATTTATAACAAAAATGCGTTACTTTTTTATAACATGTTTTACATCTTTATTGTTTAACTTATTGTAATCATGAGCAGCAAATGAAGTTACGTAATTCGCAATATAATAGTTTTTAAATCAGATTAAAAAATTATCTTAGTATAATTATCTTACGATATTTTTCCCAGGCATTTGCACTACCAATGACGTGGACGCACTTTTGTATCATATGAATAACGCGAGGTATCTTCGCGAACTCGATTTTGCGAGAGTCGACTTTTACGAAAGGACCGATCTCTACCGAGAAGTTTGTTCTCAAGGATCAGGTATTGTACAAGGAGCTGCCACTATACGCTACAGGCGTTTCATCAAGCCGCTTACGATCTTCAAAATAACATCTAAGGTAATTCAAGAAATTTAAATTTGAGTACGTGTAACATTTTTCCTCTTCACAGGTGAAGAGAAAAAATTCTTACTTACACAAGAAACGTAAACACAAGAAAAAAAAACATCGATTCGTTACGAGAGTTTATAGTATACTTATTACAATAATAATTAATAGATTAAGAATTTTTTTTTATTAAAAAACTATTTTGAAGCACATGCTTTTGTTGCTACGTTTAAATAACGTTTAAATAATTACCATGTATATCACTGACGTTTGTAAAACCATCTTACCGAAAGTTTTTCTCGAAAATAACATCTTTTACAAAGTATCAACCGCATATTATATTGGTCTGCCACAAAAAGATTGAAACGTTGCATATATCGGATGCGAATAGCAAACGCGTCAATAGACGCGTCAGTTATTTTTTTTTTCAATGCATTCATGATCCTAAAGTAAACGCCATTTGATTTCGTAATTGTAATGCACCACGCGATCGTATGACGCACAGTCTCGAAACTCAGGTTGGATCTTCTTATGGAAATGTTTAATGTCCTTAACAGGCGCAACTATGTATTGTAAGAGACAAGGTTATATATCAAGGCTTTGATAATAAATGCATGAAGGGCGATTATATACATTTATGCAAACCAAATACGGGCAAGGTCGCATTAAGAAAAATTGCGCCAGAGACTTGTGATCTTTGAACGCCTGTCTTTTTCATCCCAATAATTATAACATTTCTAACGACCTTTTTTCCAGTAGTGTTTCATTACATGGATTATCTCTATTTTCATTATCAGTGTTCACATTGCATGTTTCATGTTTAAAACGAAAATATTTATATGTAAAGTCGAAACCACTTACAATCAAAGTTAGATGTCAAACTAATACTTATATACATGTATCTATACTTATATACATGTATCTTAATAAATTTATCTCAGAAATATGACTATACGCGCCGATTTCCTTCGGGCTTTTAATCTGAAATGTTTTATATATATATATATAT